CTGTAGTAGGTAATTAATCATAACTTCACAATCATCCAGGAAGCCCTGAAGTTCTGAATCTTTTTGTCAAATATATGAAAGTCCTTTTGAAACTGATTTATGTTACCTTTCAAGAGTTCACGTGCAAACAAAAAAAAAAAACCACATGCATATACACACAGGAAAGTTATTTTTCATCTTCCATTATTTTACTTTGAGGATTATTGATAACTGCTTGGTCTTACCACTTGATCATTATTGTCAGTTTGCCATGCCATCATCCAAAGATTTTCCACTAAACCTTCCTTCTCAAACCACATATGATATGATGAAATAAATGGATGCTTTCTTTAAGTCATTCAGTCATTCCACAAACATTTATTTGATGCCTGTTATACCAGGCATTGGATATCTAATGGTGAAAGAAACAGACGTGGTCCCTCTACTTATGGTGTTGTGATGGGAAACGCTGGGATGGGAGCCTTTTATACAGAGGTCTGTTACAGAAAAGTAACATTTTAAGCTGAGACTTGAAAGATGAAAAAGAGCCACCCATGTGAAGAATTGGGTGTAAAGCATTCCAGGCAGTTAAATAGCACCTGTCAGGTGAAGTTATAGAGAGCTTGAGCCTATTAGAAGAATTAAAAAGAGGTTTCTATGGCTGCAGCTTGGAAAGAGAGGGTATGAAAGGCTGAAGATGAGGCTGTAGATGTGAATAGAGGGTAAATAATACAATACCTTTTAAACCATGGTGAGTAGCTTGAATTTTATTCAAAGTGCAATAAAAATTTATGCTTTACCAGGAGAGTGATATAATTTGATTTATATTTTTAAAAGCTCATTCTGGCTCCTGTGTTGAGAATGCATTGGGAGAAACCAAGAAAAAAAGCTGGAAAAACAATAATGAAGCTATTACACTGTTCCAGGCAAGATATGCTAACAGCCTGGATTAGGCAGTGCAATAAAAATACTGAAAAGTGGCCATGGTTGAGATATATTTTGGAGATAGATGCTATAGGACTTACCAAAGGATTAGGTGCTTTTGAAATTTTTAAAAAATTTATTTTATTGGGGAATTCCCTGGCAGTCCAGTGGTTAGGACTCAGCTCTTTCACTGCCATGGCCCGGGTTCAATCCCTGGTCAGGGAACTAAGATCCCGCAAGCTGCACAGCATGGCCAATAAATTAATAAATTAATTAATATTTATTTTTATTGAATTATAATTGATTTACAATGTTGTGTTAGTTTCTGAGGATTAGGTGTTTTTCAAATGGGAAAAGATTAATGTCCACATTTTTGCATTTAGCACTGGTGATATAGTTCTGCCATTTATAGGGGAAGACTGGTGGAGAAATGGCATGGGAAGGAAAATCAAGAGTTCCATTTTAAACATGTTAAGTTAAAGATGCCAATAAGGTATGCAAGCATAAAAGTGAACTACCAATTTGGATATGTGAATTCACAGAAGTATAACCTGGAAATATAAATTTGGAAGCAATCAGAAAATTAATGGCATGGAAATAGCAGAAATCACCTACGGAAAAGAGTACATAGAAATAAGTAACTGAAAATATTATTGATAACAAAGACTAAGTTCAAATACAGTCAGCCCTCCATATCCATGGGTTCCACACACAAGGATGGAAAATACTCAGAAAAATTCCAAAAGTTCCAAAAAGCAAAACTTGAATTTGATGCACATCAGCAACTATTTACATAGCACTTACATTGTATTAGGTATTATAAGTAATTTAGAGATGACTTAAAGTATACAGAGGATGTGTAGGTTATATGCAAATAAAATGCCATTTTATATAAGAGACTTGAGCATCCACGGATTTTGGTATGGGGTGCGGTCCTGGAACCAATCTCCTATGGTTACTGAGAGACAGCTGTATTAGAACACATAGCTTTAAGAACATTTTCAACATGATTGCCTTTCTCTTCACAAACTAACGAAAATGCCATGTAAGGCTGATTCACATTCACAGGTCTCTCAATAAATGAAGGAATAAATGATATAGCTATGTAAACTAATACATTTTGGTGTTTTACTTCTGCCAAAGTTGCTGATTTACTCAGTCAAGACTTATTTTTATTTTTTAATCCACATTTCAATTAGAGCAACCATAAAGCAGCAGGGATCAGTCAGCTATAGCTTGTGTGACAAATTCAGCCTAGTGCCTGCTTTTGGATGGCCTGTGAGTTGAGCATGGTTTTTACATTTTTTTTTTTTTTTTGAGGTACGCAGGCCTCTCACTGCGTTGCGGAGCACAGGCTCTGGACGCGCAGGCTCAGCGGCCATGGCTCACGGGCCCAGCCGCTCCGCGGCATGTGGGATCTTCCCAGACTGGGGCACGAACCCGTGTCCCCTGCATCGGCAGGCGGACTCTCAACCACTGCGCCACCAGGAAAGCCCTACATTTTAAATGTTTGAAAACAAATCAAAAGAAGAGTATTTCATGATATGTGAAATTATATAAAATGCAAATTTCTGTGTCCACAAATATTGATTTATTGGAACAGTCATGCTCACTCTTACACAAATGGTCTGTAATTATTTTCAAGCTATAACAGCAGAATTGAGTAGTTGCAACAGAGACTATATGGCCCAAAAAGCTTAAAACATTAACTACCTGGCTCTGTACAGAAAAAGTTTGCTGATCCCTAATATAGCACATCACTAATTTGTACCTAATTTATAAATATCTTGTCAACCTGTAATTTCTATAAATAACTTACTGAAGTACTCAGAACATCTCTACATATCAAATGAACTCACATATAATTATTTATAAGCATTATGTCTACCAGAAGCAATTGACAAAGAATTGAACCAAAAGATGAAGATTCTAAGTTTCTGCCTGGTACTGAAGTACCAACTCAGTAACTACTGTGAAAAGATTTGATAATTATTTCTACCTCAAACACCTAAAACTCTGGAGTTAACTCATTTCCTTCCATCACTCCCTACTCTCTCTGTCAGAAAAAGAGTAAGTGTGTGAAATATTTTATGCCAAAGGCTGCTACTGGGTCCTTGAGAATAGCAACTACTACCTTAAAATTGCAACACTTTGTACAAATTCTTAAAATATAACTCATTCTATGCACCTGACCCTATCCAAGTAAACAAAGAAATATTCTTACCATTTAAATTTTCCGAGTTAAAAAGATTTCCTATTATATTCCTTGTTCCATAAACACTACTGGACATAAATGTATATACTGTGTATGACTTCTTTCAGGCCAATAAGTAATTGTTCAATAAATTATTATTCTAGGCTTTCCCGCTTAAGGCGGGAAATGAGCTGCTGACTGGAGTGGTGAGCAGCCTTGCTGACCGTCAGAAGAGTGACCTAGTAGAGCCAATCTGCAAGGAAAGGAAGGGCCAAATACAGCAACTTTTTCATGGCTATAAAAGGGAGAGCTTGACATGCCCACACCACGGGACCTCTAGAAACTTTCCTGAGCCGTGTGGCTGACAAGGTCTTGGTGCTACGGCCAGGTGTCAGGCCTGAGCCTCTGAGGCGGGAGAGCCGGGTTCAGGACACTGTATCACCAGAGACCTCCCTGACCCACGTAATATAAACCAGTGAGAGCTCTCCCAGAGATCCCATTCTCAACGATAAGACCTGGCTCCATTCAATGGCCAGAAAGCTCCAGCACTGGACACCCCATGCCATACAAGTAGCAAGACAGAAACATAACCCCACCCATTAGCAGAGAGCCTGCCTAAAAATAGTAATAAGTTCACAGACACCCAAAAACATACCGCTGGACGTGGTCCTGCCCACCATAAAGACAAGACCCACCTCATCCATCAAACACAGGCACCAGTCCCCTCACCCAGGAAGCCTACACAAGTCACTGAACAAACTTACCCACTGGCGACAGGCACCAAAAACAATGGGAACTACGAACTGCAGCCTGCGAAAAGGAGACCCCAAACACAGTCAGTTAAGCAAAATGAGAAGACAGAGAAATACGCAGTAGATGAAGGAGCAAGGTAAAAACCCACCAGTCCAAACAAATGAAGAGGAAATAGGCAGTCTACCTGAAATAGAAGTCAGAGTAATGATAGTAAAGATGATCCTAAATCTTGGAAATAGAATAGAGAAAACACAAGAAACGTTTAACATGGACCTAGAAGAACTAAAGAGCAAACAAACAATGATGAATAACAAAATAAATGAAATTAAAAATTCTCTAGAAGGAATCAATAGCAGAATAACTGAGGCAGAAGAACAGATAAGTGACCTGGAAGATAAAATAGTGAAAATAACTACAACAGAGCAGAATAAAGAAAAAAGAATGAAAAGAATTGAAGACGATCTCAGAGACGTCTGGGAAAACATTAAATGCACCAACATTTAAATTATAGGGGTCCCATAAAAAGAAGACAAAAAGAAAGGAGCTGAGAAAATATCTGAAGAGATTATAGTTGAAAACTTCGCTAATATGGGAAAGGAAATAGTCAATCAACTGCAGGAAGCACAGAGACTCCCACACAGGATAAATCCAAGGAGAAACACTCCAAGACATATATTAATAAAACTATCAAAAATTAAATACAAAGAAAAAATATTAAAAGCAGCAGGGGAAAAGCAACAAATAACATACAAGGGAATCCCCATAAGGTCAACAGCTGATCTTTCAGCAAAAACTCTGCAAGCCAGAAAGGAGTGGCAGGACATATTTAAAGTGATGAAAGGGAAAAACCTGCAACCAAGATTGCTCCACCCAGCAAGGATCTCATTCAGATTTGATGGAGAAATTAAAACATTTACAGACAAGCAAAAGCTAAGAGAATTCTACACCACCAAACCAGCTTTACAACAAATGCTAAAGGAACTTCTCTAGGCAGGAAACACAAGAGAAGGGAAAGACCTACAATAAGAAACCCAAAACAATTAAGAAAGTGGTGACAGGAACATGCATACTGATAATTACCTTAAATGTAAATGGACTAAATGCTCCAACCAAAAGACACAGACTGGTTGAATGGATCCAAAAACAAGACTGTATATATGCTGTCTACAAGAGACCCACTTCAGACCTAGGGACACATACAGACTGAAAATGAGGGGATAGAAAAAGATATTCCATGCAAATGGAAATCGAAAGAAAGCTGGAGTAGCAATCCTAATATCAGATAAAATAGACTTTAAAATAAAGACTCTCACAAGAGACAAATAAGAACACTACATAATGATCAAGGGCTCAAACCAAGAAAAAGATATAACAATTGTAAATACTTATGCACCCAACATAGGAGCACTTCAATACATAAGGCAAATGCTGACAGCCATAAAAGAGGAAATCAACAGTAACACAATCATAGTAGGGGACTTTAACAGCCCACTTTCATCAATGAAGAGATCATCCAAAATGAAAATAAATAAGGAAACACAAGCTTTAAACAAAATGGACTTAATTGATATTTATAGGACATTCCATCCAAAAACAACAGAATACACTTCCTTCTCAAGTGCTCATGGAATATTTTCCAGGATAGATCATATCTTGGGTCACAAACCAAGCCTTGGTAAATTTAAGAAAACTGAAATCATGTCAAGTATCTTTTCCAACCACAATGCTATGAGACTAGATATGAATTACAGGAAAAAAACTGTAAAATATAAACACATGGAGGCTAAACAATATGCTACTAAATAACCAAGAGATCACTGAAAAAATCAAAGAGGAAATCAAAAAATACCTAGGAACAAATGACAATGAAAACATGATGACCCAAAACCTATGGGATGCAGCAAAAGCAGTTCTAAGAGGGAAGTCTATAGCAATACAATCCTACCTCAAAAACAAGAAAAATCTCAAAATTAACAACCTAACCTTATACCTAAAGCAATTACACAAAGAAGAACAAAAAAACCCCCAAAGTTAGCAAAATGAAAGAAATCATAAAGATCAGATCAGAAATAAATGAAAAAGAAATGAAGGAAACTACAGCAATGATCAATAAAACTAAGAGCTGGTTCTTTGAGAAGATATACAAAATTGATGAACCATTAGGCAGACTCATCAAGAAAAAAAGGGAAAATGACTCAAATCAATAGAATTAGAAATGAAAAAGGAGAAGAAACAACTGACACTGCAGAAATACAAAGGATCATGAGAGATTACTACAAGCAGCTGTATGCCCATAAAATGGAAAACCAGGAAGAAATGGACAAATTCTTAGAAAAGCACAACCTTCCAAGACTGAACCAGGAAGAAATAGAAAATATAAACAGACCAATCAATAGCACTGAAATTGAAATTGTGATTAAAAACTTTCCAACAAACAAAAGCCCAGGACCAGATGGCTTCACAGGCGAATTCTATCAAACATTTACAAAAGAGCTAACACCTATCTTTCTCAAACTCTTCCAAAATATAGCAGAGGGAGGAACACTCCCAAACTCATTCTACAAGGCCCCTACCACCCTGATAAAAAAACCAGACAAAGATGTCACAAGAAAAGAAAACTACAGACCAATATCACTGATGAACATAGATGCAAAAATCCTCAACAAAATACTAGTAAACAGAATCGAACAGCATATTAAAAGGATCATATACCATGATCAAGTGGGGTTTGTCCCAGGGATGTAAAGTATTCTTCAATATATGTAAAACAATCAGTGTGACACTCCATATTAACAAGTTGAAGGAGAAAAACCATATGATCATCTCAATAGATGCAGAGAAAGCTTTTGACAAAATTCAACACCCAGTTATGGTAAAAAACCTCCAGAAAGCAGGCATAGAGGGAACTTAGGTCAACATAATAAAGGCCATATATGACAAACCCACAGCCAACGTCGTCCTCAATGGTGAAAAACTGAAACCATTTCCACAAATATCAGGAAAAAGACAAGGTTGCCCACTCTCACCACTATTGTTCAACATAGTTTTGGAAGTTTAAGCCACAGCAATCAGAGAAGATAAAAAGATAAAAGGAATCCAAATCAGAAAAGAAGAAGTAAAACTGTCACTGTTTGCAGAGGACATGATACTATACATAGAGAATCCTAACGATGCTACCAGAAACTACTAAAGCTAATCAATGAATTTGGTAAAGTAGCAGGATACAAAATTAATGCACAGAAATCCCTTGTATTCTTACACACTAATGATGAAAATTCTGAAAGAGAAATTAAGGAAACACTCCCATTTACCATTGCAACAAAAAGAATAAAATACCTAGGAATAAACCTACCTAAGGAGACAAAAGACCTGTATTCAGAAAACTATAAGACACTGATGAAAGAAATTAAAGATGATACAAGCAGATGGAGAGATATACCATGTTCTTGGATTGGAAGAATCAACATTGTGAAAATGACTCTACTACCAAAAGCAATCTACAAATTCAATGCAATCCCTATCAAGCTACCAATGGCATTTTTCACAGAACCAGAACAAAAAATTTCACAATTTATATGGAGACACAGAAGACCCCGAATAGCCAAAGCAATCTTGAGAAAGAAAAATGGAGCTGGAGGAATCAGGCTCCTTTCCTTCAGACCAACTACAAAGCTACAGTCATCAACGTAGTATGGTACTGGCACAAAAACAGAAATATAGCTCAATGGAACAGGATAGAAAGCCCAGAGATAGATAGACCCACGCACATATGGTCACCTTATCTTTGATAAAGGAGGCAAGAATATACCATGGAGAAAAGACAGCCTCTTCAATAAGTGGTGTTGGGAAAACTGGACAGCTACATGTAAAAGAATGAAACTAGAGCACTCCCTAACACCATACACAAAAATAAACTCAAAATGGATTAAAGACCTAAATGGAAGGCCAGACACTTAGAGGAAAACATAGGCAGAACACTCTATGACATAAATAACAGCAAGATCCTTTTTGACCCACCTCATAGAGAAATGGAAATAAAAAGCAAAAATAAATAAATGGGACCTAATCAAACTTAAAAGTTTTTGCACAGCAAAGGAAACCATAAACAAGGCAAAAACATAACCCTAAGAATGGGAGAAAATATTTGCAAATGAAGCAACTGACAAAGGATTAATCTCCAAAATTTACAAGCAGCTCAAGCAGCTCCATATCAAAAAAACAAAACAAAAAACCCAATCCAAAAATGGGCGTAAGACTTAAATAGGCATTTCTCCAAAGAAGATATACAGATTGCCAACAAACCCATGGAAGGATGCTCAACATCACTAATCGTTAGAAAAATGCAAATCAAAACTACAATGAGGTATCACCTCACACCACTCAGAATGGTCATCATTTAAAAATCTACAAACAATAAATGCTGGAGAGGGTGTGGAGAATAAGGAAACCCTCTTGCACTGTTGGTGGGAATGTAAATTGATACAGCCACTATGGAGAACAGTATGGAGGTTCCTTAAAAAACTAAAAATAGAACTACCATTTGACCCAGCAATCCCACTACTGGGCATATACCCTGAGAAAACCGTAATTCAAAAAGAGTCATGTAGGGTTTCCCTGGTGGCGCAGTAGTTGAGAGTCCGCCTGCCGATGCAGGGGACACGGGTTCATGCCCCAGTCCGGGAAGATCCCACATGCCGCAGAGCGGCTGGGCCTGTGAGCCACGGCCGCTGAGCCTGCGTGTCCAGAGCCTGTGCTCCGCAACGGGAGAGGCCACAGCAGTAAGAGGCCCGTGTACCGCAAGAAAAAAAAAACAAAAAACCGAGTCATGTACCACAATGTTCATTGCAGGTCTATTTACAACAGCCTGGACATGGAAGCAACCTAAGTGTCCATCAACAGATGAATGGATAAAGAATATGTGGCACATATATACAATGGAATATTACTCAGCCATAAAAAGAAATGAAATTGAGTTAGCTGGATGGACCTAGAGTCTGTCATACAGAGTGAAGTAAGTAAGTCAAAAAGAGAAAAACAAATACTGTATGCTAACACATATAAACGGAATCTTAAAAAAAAGGTTCTAAAGAACCTAGGGGCAGGATGGGAATAAAGACACAGACATAGAGAATGGACTTGAGAATACAGGGAGGGGGAAGGTAAGCTGGGACAAAGTGAGAGAGTGGCATAGACATATATACATTACCAAATGTAAAACAGATAGCTAGTGGGAAGCAGCTGCATAGCACAGGGAGATCAGCCTGGTGCTTTGTGAACACGTGAAGGGGTGGGATAGGGAGGGTGGGAGGGAGACTCAAGAGAGAGTAGACATGGGGATCTATGTATATGTATAGCTGACTCACTTTGTTATACAGCAGATACTAACACACCATTGTAAAGCAATTATACTCTAATAAAGATGTTAAGAAAAAAATTATTATTCCAAGGTACTTACTGATACTGACATCATATGAGGTTTGAGAAAAATGTAAAAGCTCTCAAAAAAGAATGTCAAATTAACTCCTATAAAATAGTTAGAAGTAGGAAAAACATGCCACTTACATATCTAACTCACTTAAAACTGTTGTTGGTTTACTATGAAAATGTTTTAGCTTGAAAAACATTGTTTGCTGATTCCTTAAACTCAGCTACTATTACCAAACCTACAACTGACATATGTAACAACATTAATAAAAAACAATTTTATACATCATTTAGTCAATAGCATAACTTAATTTTCTTTTATTTTTATGCAGTTACTAAACTCACACTGTCTTCCACATCTCCAGTCTTCCAGCCTTTTAACAGCATTTTAGACACAGGTATCTGAAGTTCATTTTCTAGAATCTGTTTAATTTCTCCTGTACGAAAAAGAGGAGACCAGATATTACTAACAAAATAATGCAATAAATATTTGTTCATATCCAGAGCTAGCATTAATATTAGGCATATGGTCCACAGTCAATGACATCTGTCTGATGAATGCATATGAAAAATTTCAGTAGTCCAAACTTCAAATCTTGATCATACAACATGTTGTGCCTTTGAAGAACTAAGGCTCCACCATTATGATAAAAGACTCCACAATTACTTAAGTACCTTTTTAAAAAGAAACAGATATCAGTGATTGGGGGTTTGAAAGGAAATAATCTATTTTAAACCAACTGATAATATTTATATGTGCTCAGCATATGGTAGGAGTAGTCGGTAAAGTACAAAACTTGAGGCATTATAGTATAGGGAAAGCAAATTGTGGAATGAAGACTTGGGCTGAAGTCTTATCTTGAAGAAATCAAATAACTTACCTGTTTTTTTTTGGGATCTATAAAATGGGGAATAATATTGTTTATCTCATCTACCTCTAAGATAAGATTTTTTGCATCTATAAAATGGGGAATAATATTGCCTATCTTATCTACCTCTAGGGTTCAAGGGTGAAAGGAGATAACATCCATGAATGTAGCTGGAAAAAAATAATAAAGTCAATGTATATAATCTAGAAGACAATTTAAACTGTGCTGAAGAGAAAAGCAGCAGAATTTCAGAAAAGAAAAAAAATTATGGTGGATCAAATAGTCAGAGAAAGTTTTGTGAGACAGATGAGACTTAAACCCAGCTTGAAATACAGCTGCATTTAAACCAAACTTGAAGTATAGCTGGGTTGTGAAGGAGAGCCAAATCAAAGACCAGGATATTCTATTCAGTGAAGACAAAGACCAAAAGGTAAAAAGGAAAAAATGAAAATGATGCTAATGAGAAACAGGGAGGAATCACAATTTTCCCAGTACTCCACAAATTACTTTTCAGGAATCGAGTCTACTTATAAATTAACCAGCTAATTTCTGGTACTACAGTATAATAAACAGATCATTAAATCAGAATGTACAAATATTTCATATATATGCTTTTATTAGGTTGGTTAGTCTATAATTATAGATTAACACATAATTCAATTTCATTTATATTAAGTGATTGAACACTGCAGAAAATGATTATACTATACATTAAAAGAAAAGTAATTCCATGCCGATAAAGGAAAAGATGGCGGGTGAAGCTTACACTACACAAGTTCTATGGAAGCACAGCTGCCTAAGCAAGCAAAGCTACAATCAAACCCTTCATGGCCTTAGTGACATATTTTTACTTTCCTAAAGAAAATTCCTATCTAGGCACTTTGGATAGCGATTAAACATCATAAAAAGAATTCTGATTCAACATTATATTTTAGAAGCACAAAATTTGTCAACTTTGACCTTCAAAAATATCACTGCTGACAAAGGATTGTTCTGTTCATGGAAATGAGAGAAAGGTGAGCCATACTTCTTTTACCAAATACATATAAACACTGCCTTTTCATTTGTGACTAAGGTTGCTATTTCTAAAGCTGTACCTATCTGGAACTGGGCTTATGCGCTTACAAGCCTGCCCAGTGCTTTCCTCTTAGAAACTTATCTTCACCTGACACTTCCTGCTTAAACTCTTGGAGACACCCTTAGCATTCATAACCTAAAGGAAAGGAAAAACAAAAAGAGACTTTAAGTTAAAGTCCCAGTTAGTCTTTGCAGCAAGCTTGGGTAACATATAATACAAAAAAGTCTTTTGTTCCACAGGTAGAAAAGAATAGAAAACAAACCCAGAGCCATGACAGCAACCTGAGTTCCTCATATTCAAAAAATTCTTCTCTGTTGGTCTCAATTTCTTCTTCTCTAAAGTAGGAATAATAACTATAGTACCAATACTTCATTGGGTTGCTGTATTAAATGACATACGGAATGGAAAATACTTTGTGTTACTATGTGTCCAATACATAAAATGGACTCAAAAAAGGTTGTTAGCTTTAAGTCATATTAATTAAGGTAATACACACATAAGTGTCTAGCATAGTATCTGGCCAGTATAGGTTCTCAATAAATAGTTGTTTCAAGAATATCCAAAATATTTTAGGGCAGTGAAGCGCTAGAATGCAGCAAGTTTCAGAGCCAGTTTTTATATCCAGGTCTGCCTGACTCCAAAGATCTTAACACGAGATGGCACTCCTGTATGTTACTTCGAAAACTGAGAAGATATGCAGATGTCATCAAGGAACAGTCCACTGACTGCAAACCATATATCTGATAAGGGTTTAATACCCCAAATATATAAAGAACTCATATAATTCAATAGCCAAAAAACCCCCAAATACTCCAATTAAAAATGGGCAAAGGACTTGATTAGACATCTTTCCAAAGAAGATATAAAAATGGCCAATAGGGGGCTTCCCTGGTGGCGCATCAGTTGAGAGTCCGCCTGCCGATGCAGGGGACACAGGTTCATGCCCCGGTCCGGGAGGATCCCACATGCCGCAGAGCGGTTGGGCCCGTGAGTCATGGTTGCTGAGCCTGCTCGTCCGGAGCCTATGCTCCGCAACGGGAGAGGCCACAACAGTGAGAGGCCCGCGTACCGC